ATTGGCTTGGAGTATGGTTCGACGGTGTGGATGAGGGCGACGCCGCGTCGCTGGGCGTTGCGGAGTTGGCGAAGTGCACGGGCATAGGCGAGGAGCTGAACACGGTGGGAGAGGTCGCGTGTGCGGTGGGCAATCTCACGCGTCTCAGAGCCCAGACGGGTCGAAGGCTTCGTCGGCAGTGTGGACGTGGTAGTCGTAGTGCCAGTGGCAGCAGTGGTGGCAGGGGTCTCGGCATCATCCTCGTCGTTGTCGTTGTCTTGTTCGTTGTCAAAGTCGACGTCAGTCTGCATGGCCTCGAGGAAGGCATCGGCACGGTCCAGGATCATCTGCGTCGGAGCAAGCAGCACGCGCTCAACCTGCCATGTGTGCGTGAGTGCGTGTGTGTGTGCGTGTGTGTGTGTGTGTGTGTGTGTGTGTGTGTGTGTGTGTGTGTGTGTGAGTGCGTGAGTGCGTGAGTGCGTGAGTGCGTGTGAGAGTGCGTGCGTGTGAGTGAGTGAGTGAGTGTGTGTGTGCGTGAGAGAGAGAGTGTGTGTGTGTGTGTGAGTGGGTGTGAGCAAGTGGATGTGAGTGTGTGTGTTGAAGGCGGCATGGCCACTGAAAGGCGCAATCGACCAATAGAATGCAAGGTGTAGACACAAAGGCCATGCACAGTGGCATGTCGTCGTGGTGCTGTGCGCTGTGCTTGATTGAGCGACTCACGGAGACAGCCTTGGAGTTGACTTCGTCGCGAACAGTGGTGAAGCGCTGGCGAAGAGAGGTGGCAGCCGTCTCCATGGCGTCGAGCTTCTGGCACGCATACTCGTCAAGCTGCTTCACTGCGCGTGTTCAAAACGGGGGGAAGGGCGGTGGCGGGAGGTGTGTGTGTGTACGTGTGTGTGTGTGCGCGCGCGCGTGTATGTGTGGAGGTCAGAATACAACGCGCACAACGTAGCGGCACACATGCTCAGGCGTTGGCGCAGGCGTGGGCGCAGGTAGTCGCCCCCCCCCCACACACATGTTCACGTACGCTTGTCAGCGTGACGCTCGAGGAAAGGCTTGGCATGGGAAGAGCAGATGCGCTCGAAGCGGCCAACAAGCTGCGAGTCCTTCTTGGATGGGACGTACGGCGCAGCGGCGGCAACGGCGCGGGAGATGTAGGGCAGAGCGGCAACACGTGCAATGGCGGCGCTGCCAAGCCACTCCTCCACATCAACATCCTGCTGGTGATGATGGTGGTGGGTCTCCAGCACCATCTTCGGCTTCTTCTGGTTGGTTGCTTGACACGCAGGCAACAAAGGGGGCTGTTGTCGCTGAGTCGCTGGGTATCTGGCTGGCTGGGGTGTCTCAGGGGTTCGTGTGGACGTGGCACGCGATGGACTTGTGTGAAATGAAACTGCGAGTGAGTGAGCAACCAACTGCTGCTGCCGCTGTTGCTGCTGTCGTCAGATTTCGTTTCCTGATTGGATGACACATGCAATATCGCAGCAGTGCAGCAACGAGATGCCAAACAATAAGAACGCCCCGTGCAGTTGCACCAAGAACCACCATTGATTGCGTCGAGGTGTGCCACTCAGTTTAAGATTTCGTCATTGCCACAACAAGAACCAGCGCGCCATATTTTTCCCCGCCACAAATCCAAAAACCGTTGCCGTTTGGCAGCAAGCGAGTAAGACAGCGTCCAGATAGTATGTGCATTTCCCCACCACCACTGCCACCCACAACCCCTTCTCACACACAGTCACACTGACGCCTTCGTCTTCGTCTTCGTGTACCAACACAGCATCATGGACAGCAACACCCCTGACAGCCACCTGAACAGCGACTTCTGGGACCCTGAACCCGACCCAATTGATCAGCATGATGATGGCCACCACAGCGGCGGGATGATGCAGCCCACAGAACCCGCGGTGTCTGAGACGGATGTGCACCTTGATCACGCAGCTTCGCCCTCACCCTCATTGACAGCAGCCTCCGACCAGCCGACAGATCTTGGCGAGGTTGTGGAGGAGCTCGAGGGCAAGCGGAGTGTGACCACTCAGACCCAGCGGCTGCCGTTCCTGCCACCACTTCGCAAGCTGCGGAAGCCGCAAGCGGCAAGCAAGGAAAACAGTGAGCCCAGGAGGCGGATCACGGCAAACCCCTTCGACCCCAACCCGCGCAAGCGGCCGCGCAACCACTACACGCAGATGCAGAAGGACCTCGTCATCCAGGCTGGCGAAAGCAGCAGCGCCGACGCTCGCCGCATTGGAGCCCTCTTTGGCATGCCTCCGGCAACCGTCAAGACCGTGCTTTACCACGCAAGGCGGAAAGAACAAGGACTGGAAGAAGCGCATGCGACGCCAGCAAGCAGCTCCACAGCACCACAGCGCCAGCGGGGGAAGAAGGCAGGTACGCCCAGGAGGCTTTTCCCTGAGGACGAGGAAGTCCTGAGGGAGCTCGTCTACGAGCACTGCACGATGACCGCAGACCAGCTTGCAGACCACATGAACCTTGAAAAGCTCCGCCGAATCATGATCAGCCTGGAGGAGCAGCTGCCCGCAGAGCAACGGTTGCGGGACGAGGAGAAGGTCTTCCTTGGGCCACTAGACCGTGACAAGTGCCTTGAGAACCCTGCGGTGAAGGAGGTGTATGACAAGACGCACATTGAAGGCACCCGCAGCGTGTATCGCGCGCTGAAGCGAAACATCTTCACCCTAAAGCGAGTGGTTCCAGCTCGAACGACAATGAACAGCGAGGCTAACAAGCAGAAGCGGCTGGCGTTTGCGAAGGAGCTGCACGACCTGCTCCTGGACGACAACGTGTACATCGTCTACATCGACGAGATGCCGTTTTACCTCGCGAGCGGCAGAAACTATGGATGGGCGCCGCGTGGTGATCGCGCCGTGCACGAGGTGCTGCCCATGAGTACCATGTCCTATCGCACACAAGTGGCCATGGCAGTCTCGCACATGCACGGGCTTCTTTACGGCAAGCTCTACCCACCAGAGATGCAAAACACCGGCGGAGATGGGCAGAAGAAGACCAAGAAGGCCCTCAAGGCCAGCTACACGCAGGACCACTTCAAAGACTTCCTCAACAACCTTCTCCACACCCTCTGGCACAAGCGCCAAAACCTTCAACTCAGTGGAACAAAAATCGTGTTTCTCATCGACAGCGCGCCCGAGCACGGAAAGCGAGCGACGGAGGCTGCCACGCAGATGCTGCAGGCCTGCGACAGCTTCCACCTATGGCATGAGTGGATTGCGACCGGTCGGTGCAGCATGACCGTCAAGTTTATTTCCCCCGTATCGCCCACGCTGAATTTGACTGAGTTCTACAACAGATCGTTGCGGCAGAGGGCGAATCACCTCCGCAAGACCCCAGACTTCATTGGCAAGCTGGAGTCCAAAGACATTCCGCGAGGGCAGGTGCAGAAGACGCGTGTGAAGGTGCTGTGCGACATCATCAAGCGGGCAATGGCTGATCTGCAGCGCACTGCTCTCAAGCGGGCAAGCGAGGCGAGAATGCTGGAGGAAGTGCTTCACGTCATTCAGCTCAACGGGTTTCTCGACAAGCACTGGCGACCAGTGCAGCTGAGAAACAACAAGGCTCATTCAACAGAGCTTGCCGACAGCATGGATGGTGATGGTGGTGATGATGATGATGGTGATGATGATGATGATAACAGGCACCCCACCGACGTTGATGTTGCTCAAGAGGATCACTCTGCCAATGACGTCGACCAAGACGACGATGATGCCGATGATGAATGACACACACACACACACACACACACACACACACACACACGCACACGCACACGCACACGCACACGCACACGCACACACGCACGCACACACGCGCGTTCACGAGTCACTGTTGTGCGAGTTCCTTTCCCTGCGTTGTTCCCGACACCATGTTTGTGCTTGCGTTCGCTTGCTGCCAAACGGCAACGGTTTTTGGATTTGTGGCGGGGAAAAATATGGCGCGCTGGTTCTTGTTGTGGCAATGACGAAATCTTAAACTGAGTGGCACACCTCGACGCAATCAATGGTGGTTCTTGGTGCAACTGCACGGGGCGTTCTTATTGTTTGGCATCTCGTTGCAGAATGTGTGGTTTTGACCAATGTGGCTTGCTTCTTGTTGCTGTTCTTCTGTGCTCCCCCTCCTCTTTTGCTTTGCTTGCTTGGCTTCTTGGCCGAAGGTCATTGCCTTACACCAGCACACCAGCACCACCATCCACTGCCTCATCCACCCACCTCGTGCGCGTACATGCACACGATTATGCTCTCTCTGACTAGTTCAGTTGTTGTTGTTGTCGGTGCAAACAACACGGAAGAGCAACAAGGTGCGAGGAAAAAGGAAAAAGGGAAAAGGAAGAAGAAGAAGAAAGGAGAAGAACACCACCACCAGCAACACCCACCACACCACCACACACAATCAACGACACAGCCACCAATACAACGGACAGCAGCCAACCACGAGGAACACACACACACACAGCAGCAGCAAGAACAACCCACGAAGCGTGCATGCAAGGCAAGGGCGTCACAAGCAATGCGTGAGTGCAAGCAAGCAAGCAATTCGGCGCGAGAGAGAGAGCGCGGGGAACTAGAAGACGTAATGGCCAACTAGGACGCCGAGCACAAACGCAAGCAGCAGCAGCACCAGGTTCGCAATCGTGCCCTTCTTCCCAGCGATGTCAGCACCGGCTCCTGATGTCGACGACGACGACGCTGGTGTTGTTGTTGTTGATGGCGTCTTCTTGGCAACGGTCGTGCCGGCAGCCGTTGTCGTGTCCTTGGGCTTGCTTGTAGCAGAGGTCGACGTTGGCTTGGCAGTAGAGGAGGAGGAGGAGGTTGTGGTGGATGGCGTGGGCTTGTTGCTGTCGGCGGCCTGCTTATCTGCGTCTGCGTCCGTCTTCTTCGCCGCCGCTTCACTGGCGGCAGCGGCGGCGCGGCGAGCAGTCGTTGCAACAGGCGCCTGCAGCATGGTTGTGTGGTGTGGTGTGGTGTGGTGTGGTGTGGTGTGGTGTGGTGTGTGGTGTGGTGTGGTGTGGTGTGGTGTGTGAGGTGCTGTGATGCGTGGCAAATGCAGGTTGACAGGCGAGCACAGCGATAGTAAATGTAGATGCACGGACAAGCCCTTTGCGGTGTTGGTGTCTACACGCTGCATTGTCAGCATGGCTTACGTCAGCTTGTGCCTGCAAGGCAACAGCAAATGCGAAGAAACGAAAGACAGCGCACGTATGAGGAAAAAACGCAATCACATCATGCAGTTGTTGCACCACGCAAACAAGCGCACCAGTGACAGTCAGACAAGCCTCACAGACAGACAGCCAGGCAGATGGACAGAACACAACACACAGACACACAGAAACAGACGCAGACACAGACACACAGACACACACACACACATTTTTAGTCACCCCACCTGTTTGCGTTGTGTAGAAGAGGAGGAGGTTGGGGACTGGGTGCGTGGGATGTGCGGCTGCGGGTGTGCAGGGCCACCCTCGTTGAAGAGCCGACCTGAGATTCAAAGCAGGTGTGTTGGGAAGCAGGTGTATTGGGAAGCAGGTGTGTTGGGAGGGGTGGGGTGAGATGGCTTGGGAGGGGAAACTGATGCACGCAGACAGACAGACAGACAGACAGACAGACAGACACACACACACACACAGCCACGCCCATTGGGAGCCCAGACGTGTGGTGTTGAGTGTGAGTGTGTGAGTGTGTGAGTGAGTATCGTTTGAGTGAGTGTGTGCGTGTGAGTGTGTGCGTGTGTCGTGTGGGGAGTGGGTACCGTCTGGGAGGACGACGTTTCGCCATTCGCACTTGAGGCGGCGGTCCTGCACCGCGGATGCCTTTGTCCCGTCAATCTGCTTCCACTGCACGGGCCGGTGGAGACACGGAGGAGAGGGAGGCGTTTGGAGGGAGGGATTTGTGTGAGCTCTCAAGGGTGCATACAGCAGGGCATAAAAACATTCAATCACTCAGGACCACGCAACACAGAACACAGAACACTGAAAGACACAGAGATGCACACAGACACAGACACACACACACACAACGAGAGAGATGCACACGGTCACACACAGGCAGATACACACCGCGGTTGTCACATCATCAGGCTCATCGTCCACACGGGCAGCCTGGATCTGTGACGGTGACAGGGAAGGAACAGCGTGGCAATGAGATGCAAGTTTGGACCACCAACGCTCTTTCCCATAATGCCAACGCCCGCAACAGAACACATATGCCAATTCATGCACATGCATGCACGCACCCACAAGCAATCCATCCATGAAGGAAAACAGGCAGACACACATACATGCATACAGACAGACATACAGACACACACACACACACACACAGGCGCTCACTTGGAATTTGTGTTTGGGCGCTTCCTCTGGCAGGTTCTCAAACGACTGCATGATCACTGCAGCGCCCCAACGTGGGCACGGAGGAGACGGTGACAGCGGTGCATCAGATGGCAGTGATTGTGGTGAGTGCACATACAGGTACATGTCAGGTCACGCTTGGCCAAACCCCCTACAGCTGCATGCACACACACACACACACACGACACACACAGACACACGCACACACACACGACACGCACACGCACACACAGACACACACACACGCACACACACACGCACGCACCTTCAATCTGGGCGGTTTCGGCGGCCTTGAGGACGCCCGAGTTTGGGCGCACGCAGTAGGAGTGAGGGCGGGTGGTCTTGACCTTGAAGATGACATAGCCGTCTGTGAGGTTCTTGAGTGTGAAGTTGCTCTTGACCATGCGCTCAGGTTCTGGCAAATTGACAACAGCCAAGCAAACGTGTGAGGTGAGATGAAAGCGTCTTCCTCAAGCAAATCCATGGACACACACGCACACACACACACACACACACAACACACACACACACACACAAAAGGCTTGGACTTTCATCTCAGCAGCATGTCCACAAAACCAGCCTGTTCCGCATTCACAAACACCATGCAACCATGATTACAGGCATGCATGCACACAAATCCTTCGCCTTTCTGTTGATCTGAGCCCCTTGATGAACTTACTTCCTTTACCGTCGAAGGTCAGGTGCGACGATGGGCTGATTTGCACAAATGTCGGCTGAGGAGGACGGCTGCTGCCGCCGGCGCTGCTGATTCGGCTCGTCTCCATGATGCTCTCGCTCTGCTCAGAATAGTGGCACGTTGGTTCGCTTGTCGTCGTTCCTTTGCTCTCCCTATCCGGCACGTGAGCCTGTCTCTCTTTGTCTGTGTCCACAAGGCGCGTCACAACACGAAGAACAGGCACAGCAACCCTTGACCACGCTCCGTGTCTCGCTCGCTGCTGGCTGCCTCCTGTCTGCTGCTTGGCTGTGCAATCACAAGCTGCCTGTCTGTGTTGCCTGTTGGCTTCTTCGTTGTTGTCGTCGTGGCGGTGTGTGTTGATGAGCAATTGCCAGAGAAGTAGACAATTTGCAATATCTCCGATTAATTTTCCGACCAACTGTGATGTCTTGTGTCTTTTGTGTGTGTGTGTGTGTGTCTTGTGTGTGTCTTGTGTGTGTGTGTGTCTTGTGTGTGTGTGTGTGTCTTGTGTGTGTGTGTGCACGTGTGTGTGTACGTGTGTGTGTGTGTGTGTGTGTGTGTGTATGTGTATGTGCTTTTGCTTTGACTTGCTTTGTTGATTGTTGGGGTCGCTCATTCGATGCTCATGAAAACACAAGCAAGGGACAAAAAGAAATGCATGCACATACAACACAACACAAACGCAGTACAACGCCTCATGTAGACAACTACCCACACCCATGCACCCGTACACACACATTTACAAACCCACGCCCTCTCTGTCTCTGTCTCTGACACGTGTACGAACAGGGGAATAGTGTGGTTGTCAGCAGCTTGAAAGAGATGAAGCGGCAGCACGCATGTGTACGACTGAAAGTCACACACACACACACACCACACACACATAGACACACCACACGTACGGTCTGCACGAAATTTATCAACGCCATCATCACCAGGCGGCAAGGTCCTCCAGCTCTGCCTGTTCTGTTGCCTTTGCCTTTGCCGGCTCCTTCTCCTCTTCCTTGGCAGCAGGTGCTGTAAGCAGAGAGAGAGAGAGAGAGAGAGAGAGAGTGTGTGTGTGTGTGTGTGTGTGAAATACGTGTGTGCAATACGTGAGACACACACACAAAGGAGAAACAAGGAACAGGGGGGACAGGGAAAGAGGCACAGTGAACCGTCAGGGGAAGGACAGGAGAGAAAGCTTGTGAGAGTGAGAGAGAGAGAGAGAGTGTGTGTGTGTGTACCTTGGATTTCGCTCTCCGGGACATCTGGGAGCTCGACGTCTTCACCGAGCTCTTCGTCTTCGAGCGTCTCCGCCTCAAACTCCGCAAACAGCTCGTCCTGCAGCCGCGGGCGTGGTGGTGGTGGGTTGGGGTTGGTGAGGGGCGGAAGGAAGGCGTCACAAGGCAAGCAACACAAACAAGCGAGCAGAAACCAAGCAGCAAACAGGCACACCCACACACACACACACGCACAGGCGCATACACACACAGACATACATCAACAAACAAACAACGGCAGAGCGCGCTTACGTCATCAAACTGTTCGCCAAAGAGCGGCTGCGACATGAGGTCGGACACCTCGTCCAGCTTTTGCATCTGGTGGCGGTGATGAACGTTGGTGAGAGGGGAGGGGAGACCGTGTGAGGAGATACCAAGTGGCAAGCAAACGAGATGTCAAGGCGAACCAAACAAGAATACACAAGCACAAGCACAAGACACAACAACACATGATAATACAACACAAGCACACCAAGGTAAGACAACAAAATACCAAACGACACAACAAGGCACCAAACCACACGACAAGACACGACAGGGCACCTCGTCTGCAATGTCGTCCATCTCGTCCTGCATGCGGTCGATGTCGAGGCCTTGCTTCTTGAGCGCCTCGTTGCCGGCCTTCATCTGCTTCACAGACTCCGCCACCGTCGTCGCATTCTCCAGCGCAAACCGCTGCACGCAGGAGAGGAGAGGGGGGAGAGAGAGGAGAGAGCGGTGTGTGAGTGGGAACAAGCAGGGGTGAGCGGACAGGGGTGGTGGGAGTAGAGTCGGTGGAAGTAGTGTGGCATGGCGAAGAGAAAGGGAATGCAGGACAAAGGAAGAGGGAAAGCAGGGTACGAACGACGACGACGACGACGACAACAACAACAACAACAACAACAACAACAACAACAACAACAACAACAACAACAACAACAACAACAACAACAACAACAACAACAACAACAACAACAACAACAACAACGAGGGTTTGTTTGTTTGTTTGGTTGTTTGGTTGTTTGTTTGTCGCACTTGGTTTGTGAGGTTGTCAATCTGGCCATTGACGAGGCCAATCTGCTTCATGACGCGCTTGCGGTGCCGCAGGTGCGGCATGGCCTGCTCCTTCTTCCTGGCCGCCTGTCATCGTGCATGGCATTCATGGGCAAAAACAAACAGAAGCCATGTACATGTTGCAAATCGAGTGTGTGTAAGTGTACGAGTGTGTTTGCGTGTGTGTTTGTGTGTGAGTGGGTACACATCACAGCAACAAGAACCACAAGAACATCATCATCATCATTAACATCATCATCAACAACAACAACAAGAGTTGTTCAAAACGAAAAGCATCGCGCAGTCAACGCACCTTTGCTTTCTTTGTGCATTCGAGGACACGTCGTTGCAACACCTCCTCCTTCTTTGTCAACATTTGAATTTGCTGCAGAGCGTAGAGTGCAAGCATGAGATGTGGCGTACAAATAAAGGGATGGGGGCTCGTGTGACAGGTTGAGCGTGTCGTGTGTGGCCACCATCACCACCACCACCAACAACAACTGAAACAACAACTGAAACAACAATTTAAACAGCATCCATACAACCAATACACGCACACACACACAAACATAGACAAAACACATGCCCAGCATGTCCGACACAACAACCGTGCCACACCTCGTCGATGCCATGAAGTGCCTTTGCCATGACGTCGTTGCGGTCTGCTGGTGCCTCTGCAGGCTTCTTGGACAAAAACCCAAACAAGGACATTGTCGCGGTTTGTTGTCGATGTCAAAAAAATATGATGTGATGTGAAGCAAGCGCTCTTCCTTGTTCCCCCGTCTGCGACGCAATGCCTGTGCTTGGCGGTCTTTGTTTGTTGCCTTTTGTTGCCTGTGCTGTGGAATCACTCGATCCCTCCTTCTGTGTCTGTGTCTGTGTCTGTCGTGTGTCTGTCGTGTGTTTGGCTGTGTCGCTCTCGCTCGTTCGTCTGGCTTCGGCTTCTTCTTCTGCACGAACAACGCAAATGCGCCTTTTCTGTCGCTTGGTTGTCGTTGGTGAGTCATGTCTCATGTCAAGCCAGCCCACCAAGCCATTTTTTCGCTGACATCAACAAAAAATCGATGAGTCATCCATGCTACGCTTTGTGCTGTTTTTTACAATTATTTCGGAACCGCGAAGGCTGCCCTTGTGCTTCTTGTGACGCAGAATCGGTGGAGGCGCAAAAAACAGCCTGGAACCATTCAAACACCCCCCTCCCGCCAACGGCAGCAACCAAACAGAAGAAGTGAAGCAACGAGGAAGAAGCAACAAGAAAAGGAAGCAACAAGAAGAAGAAGAAAGAAGCAAAGGAAGAACAAAAACAAACAGCAAGCGACGTGTATCGGCCGGGCGTATCCCTCGCAAAACACCTCAGGGGTTTGGTGCGTTCTCCTTGTCCGGTCCATTTTCCTCTCCAACCCCAACGAGCTCAAAGCAAACCAAACAAAGCAACAAGCAAGCAAGGGGCTTGTCGCATGCATGACACAAGCACGACCACGCCAGCCATCATCGCCATCATCATCATCATCATCACAACGACAGCCAGCAGCGGCAAGCAAAGTTTAGCCCGACCACAATCATAAGCAACCCCCCCCCCCAATCCAATCCATTCCTTCCCTGCACCAAACCAGCCCTCGAGCGCATTACTTTGTCTCCTCAATCAAATCCACACAAAACAACACAAACAAACAGGCCATTTCCCCCTTGGTTGTTGTATTTGTGGCACTTCTCCTCCTCGTCCCATCGTCATCACCACGACATCATCATCATCATCCATCCTTGATCCCCATCACAACCCTTCAATATGATGCTAATGTTGGGCACGGCCACGGCCAGAAGTAGTGCGAGACAGTCGTCCTCCACCATCCTGGCTGCGCTGGCGCGAAGAAGTTCCTCCACCTCAACATCAACGGCAGCCCCAGCAACAGCGGCACCCTCATCAGCACGTGCAACAGCACCCGCCTCCTCTTCAGCCTGTGTGCCCACATCAAGTTCAGCCACGTCACCAGCCACAGCGCCCACCGCCACCAACACCACCACCGCCCCGGTGAGTCACCGCCGCGCCTTCTCCAATAAGACGCGGCCCGTGCTGGGCGCGTGGTCGTCAAGTAGGCCTGCCCGCGCCTCGCGCCTCGCCCGCTCCCAGCTGGCGCCGGGCAGCGTGTCTGCATCGGCCGCATCATCATCGGCCGCCATCGGCGCCAGCAATAGCAGCGCCACAACAGCTCCCGCTGCCAACGGCAGCAGTCCTGGCCAGCCCGCGCCGCGCGGCCCATCCCCGCTCAAGATCAACACGCGCTTCGACCACTCCATCCTCCACGGCAGCAACGAGGAGTGGGACGCCGTCATCTTCGACAAGGACGGCACGCTCGTCGACCAGACGCGCGTCTACGCAGAGTGGACCTCGGTCATTGGCTACCACTTTGAGCAGCACTGCGGCGCCGACGCAAAGAACAAGTGAGTTTTCTTGAGAGATCGGTGGTGTCTCGTCGGGTGGCTATCGGGTGCGTGTTATTCTCATGGCCTCGTGGATGGGCCTCATGGGCCTCTTCCTTTTTTTCGTCTCCCTTCGTGCCTCCTTCATGTCTTTGCGTGCACTTCCCTTTCTCCACACACACGCACACACGCACGCACACAAAATCACGTGTTCTCACGTGTTATCTGTCTGGTTGTTGCTCCGCCTCCCCTCTATTTCTCCCCTCCCCTTTTTTTCCAGGTTATTTGACCTGCTGCGCGTGGATCCAAGCACGGGACAAGTCTCTGGTGACGGCATCCTCGCCATGCGCCCTTGGAAGGAAATCTACGACTCCGTCTCTCTTGAGGTATCGAAGCCACGCACATCCCAACACAGCACAACACTCAACACACGACATGAAGCAAGGGGCGATGATTGTTGATGATGATGATGAAGGGTGACGATGATGAGGATGATGACAAGACACCAAGACAACGTGTGTGCACTTTATTGTGTGACTGGTGGGTGGGAATGAGGAAGGTTGGTGTTTGGCTTGTGTTTGGTACACACACGCGCAACACGCAACACGCACAACTGGGAAAAGAGACAAACGAAGATGATATTTTGCCTCTCGCTCGTTGATATGTGCACGCCCTCCCAGTCTGGTGTTTGGCTTGGTTCATTGTTGCACCACATCAACCATAAGATGCCACACGCACGCTCTGTGTGCGTTTAACACCATGCACCTTTGGTTGCATGGAATGCGGACGCACTTGCTCTCGCGCCCTTGCCCGCCTCCGCTGGTGCCACCCACCGTTCATCCCTTTGTGGTGTGCGTGGTGGTGCGAAGCAACTGCGGTCGGCTTGTCGTGGCTTGGCCTGCGGATCAGGAAATGGCTGGGGCAACCCGCTGTTCTCCTTTGTTCCCAACGGCCGCGGGGGGGGGGGTCCTCCCCCCGTTTGTAGCCCGCTTGACGTTTTTGCGTTGGCACCGCACACACGCAGCTCGCCTGTGTTGTGGCGGGCGGGCGAGGGTTGCGAGAGTAGTGTTGTGCTCCTTTTGTGCATTTCTGCTCAACGGTAGGCCGGCACAACGCATGCCGCACCCTTCCCTTTTTTCTTTCTTCCTTTCTCTCTTTTCTCTGTCGACAACAGCACCAACAACAACACCACCCATCACACAACTTCCCCACTTTTTCGCCACCCACATTTCAAACAACCGCACCACACATTGGGCCTTCCTCTTTTCTGTTCCCCCCACATCCCTCATGACAATGGCCAGGATGTGGAGAGACAAGACCACACCCATACACACTCGAGGGGGCCTGGTGTGGTGTGCTTGGTGCCCATTATTGCGATGCCTTGTGTGATCGTCAACTCACCTCAACCGCTGCTGTTCTCCTTTGGTCATTCCTTCCCTCCTTCCTTGACTTCTTTCCTCTCCGGTCTCCCCCCCCCTTGCCGTTTGTTTCCATCTTTTTCTTCTTCCTGCTTGTGTTGGTTTGTGCAGTTGAGCCGGGAAACGGGCATGAAGTACCACGAGGCGTCGTCCACGGTGTGCGCCTGGCGTGCGGACCTTGACCTCGCCGCCCACCAGACGCCGCTCTTTGACGTCCAGGCCCTCTTTTCCACCCTCAAGGACCACGGCACCAAGGTGGCCATTGTCACTGCAGACGACCGCGACGTGACCACGCTCGTGCTCGCTGATCTGGGCGTGCTGCACCTCGTCGACGCCCTGGTCACGGGCTCGGACATGTTCGCGCCAAAGCCCCAGGCCGAGGCGGCCGACCACATTGTCCACAAGCTGCAGCTGCGCAGGAACAAGTGCGCCGTCGTCGGCGACACGCTTGCCGACCTCCTGCTCGCCCGCAACGCGAACCTCGGCCTCGGCGTTGCCGTCCTCTCTGGCGCATGCACGCGAGACCAGCTCTCCAACTACACGGACGTCATCATCGACCGTGCAGACGAGCTGCCGCGCTTGCTCTACCCGTCGTCCGCCCCGGCAGCACCCATTGTTTCCCATGACACCGCGCCGGAGCAGCCCACCACCACCTCCGAGCAGGCCCAGGCCGCCTCTGCTGCAGCAGCTGCTGCTGCCGCCATTGTCACCCCATGGCCAACAGCCACCTGCGCCTAAACAACAACACCCCACCACAACAGTCAAACAACAACGACGACGACGATGACTGTCCCTTCCCCTTCTTCTTCCTTTGTCAGCCCGCTCCTCCTTTGTATGTCAACACGATGTAGTTGTCAATACGCCTTCTGCTTCTTACGCCCTTCTTAACACCTTTTTTTTCTATGGCCGTTGTCTCCGGCGCCATTCATTGCCCTTTGCTGCGTGTCTATTTGTTTGTCGCAGCCAAGACCGCCTCGCCGCCCATCCCACAATGCGCGAAGACGGCGCTCGTGTGTCCGTTTTCGTCGCTGCGGCTCTTCTGTTGTAGATCACTTCTTCCATTTTCATTCCCCCCCCCCACTGCCTCGTGTCAAGGCATGTTGCTATTTGCTGTGCTTCCCGCCACCCCTTGTGTGTGTGTGTGTGTGCTTGCCGTGTGTGGATGTTTACGGCGCTCGGTCCTCGTTTGCGTGCACTTGTGCACCAGCAGCATTCACTGCGCACCCTAATTCCCCCCTTCCGCTTCCACGTGCACACGACACCCTTATTCAACCCCCTACCCTCCCCCCTAAGCAGCTGGAAGTCTTGCGGTTGTGCTGGCACAGTTCACCGCCTGTTGCATGCGCGCGATTCTCACCACATCGCCACATGTTGACTCTTGTTTCCCTTCCAGTCATTTAATCAGCCTGATCACGCACGTATTGGCGCTCTTGCCCCCTCAGCCGCCTCCAACGACAGCAAGCAAGCAAACAAGCTGGCTTTGATTTCTTTGCTTGCTTGCTCGGAGCACTGGCGGGCACTCGCCATTCGTCTGCTGTTTTCAGTGCACGCGCTTGCTCAGTTCTGGTGTTCCGTCACTTGCATGTTGCTGGCGTGGGCGTGGGCGTGGGCGTGGCGAGGGCATGTTGTATCCTCGCTCTTTCGAGGCTTACGCAGCCCCCCTCCCTCCACTCTGTCCCACACCTGCAGTGATGGCCATGAACTGTGCATGTGCATGATTAATCAGCATCTCTAAGGCAATGCATATTCGTTTTGTGCTTTATGTCATTCATAGCTTTCTCCCTGATGCGGCTCCGCATTGTCGTGTTCTTCCCCCCTGTCTTTGTTTGGATTGCTGTATCAGCTCACTTCACCACCCAAGCTTGCCATCCCACGCATCCGTGTTCATCCTACTTTGTGCAGACAGACAGACATTGCGTGTGCCTTGCGCACTGTGCCCTGTGTACATGCGTGCAAGCACTGCTCTGTTGGTGTGGCTTGCTTGCCACCTTGTTCGCTTTTTGCTTATTTTTATCTCTCTCGTTGCTCTGCCAATGACAGTTCAAGAAACAAGTAAACGAAAAGCAATGCAGCAACGTGATGTGATGGATGCGTGTACATGTGTGTGTGTGGGTGTGTGTTATGCATGCATGTGTGTGTGTGTGTGTGTGTGTGTGTGTGTGTGTTGGGGAGTCGTTTGGGCGACTACATGACAGTGATTGGGAAGCGTGCGAGTGGGATTGCTTCGTGGCGTGTGCTCAGGTGGTAATGGTGAGGAGGGCTGTGAGGTCGCCTGGTGTGAGCGGGCTGCAGCGCTGTCGCCACGCCGAGCCACCATCACCCTCACCCCCAAAGGCAACAGGCCACCCCCACGCAGCAAAGTAGAGGCTGAGATCGCAGCCAACGGCAAGCGACATGAGCTCCACAAACGTGTTGATCTTGTCGTGTTCCGTGTGTGGATGACGGCCCTCGCCTTCATCGTACGCAGCAAGACACCGCTTGAACGCATCCCACCCAAACCTGCGAGGTGTGTGTGTGTGTGTGTGTGTGTGTGTGTGTGTGTGTGTGTGTGTGTGTGTGTGTGTGTGTGTGTGTGTGTGTGTGCACATGTGTGTGTGCACATGTGTGTGTGTGTGTTGTAGTGAGCGATGGTGATGACGGCAAGGGAAGCGACGTGATATCCTCACACCAGAACGCAAACAAAACAAACAAACAAGCACGCAGCGGCACTTACGCGTGCTGCAAGCGGGCATATGTCACAAGAGCCATGCACGGTTGCGATTTCCACTGTTCAAATTTGGCGGCAGCGGGCTCCTCCGCTAAGTAGCAGAGACGAGGCAGTGGAGGACAAGTGAGGCGTGAAGAAGACTGTGAAATCAAGTGGAAACGCCATGTCTTCTGTGGACACACACACACACACACGCACGCACGCACACACGCACGCACGCACATAGACGCGAACCTTGGAGGAACTTGGCAGCAGTCTGCTTGTGGCGCTGCAGCCAGGGATGACGCCACGGCTGAATGTGCACCACTGTCTCCATCGAATACAGCGTGAAGAAGTTGACAGTCACCTCGCCCGTGCCCTGGAATGTCCACCGTGGGTCCTGGATGTGGTGACCTGGAGGGCGTTGGAAGGGGAGAGGGGAGGGGAGAGGGGAGCAAAGAAAGGGAAGAGACATATTGAGCCATGTGTCTTACACTCGCACGCACACGCACACACACACACACACAGATATACACAGATATATACACAGATATATACACACACAGATACAGACATACACACACACACACACACAGATAGACACACACCGAATTCGTGAAAGAGCCCCCAGCTGCCCTTGTGCTGGAGGTTTGAGGCATCGAGAAGCATGGGCGCTTTGTCAATCGGCCTGAGCACCTGGTCGAGCTGTATCATCACAGGGTACCCTGAGCCAAGAACAAAGCGAGTTGAGCATTCCACAACCGCGCGCGTGTGTGTGTGTGTGTGTGTGTGTGTGTGTGTGTGTGTGTGTGTGTGTGTGTGTGTGTGTGTGTGTGTGTGTGTGTGTGTGTGTGTGTGTGTGTGTGTGTGTGTGTGTGTGTGTGTGTGTGTGTGTGTGTGTGTGTGTGTGTGTGTGTGTGTGTGTGTGTGTGTGTGTGTGTGTGTGTGTGTGTGTGTGTGTGGACATGCAAGTGTGACAAAGGTGAGTGGTAATATTGCGTGGTAACATGCAATGGATCGAGCATCACCAAGACAACAGTAACAATGAGTAACACCTTCAAGCATGACAGGCAGTGACACCGCAACAGCCCACTGCCGCAGCAACGCACCAGCGTGCATGTATCCTGCTGAGATTTGAGCGTCAGCCACCACGCGCTCCTTGCGCCGCGGCGGAGTGGTGCCAACGAGGTCGTAATGCGACTCCAGCACCTGGTCCCAGAACGCCAGCACGGCGCTGATGTTGGCGTACGTGTTGAGGCTCGGGCGGGCGGTCAGAGCCAACGACGGCACCGTGAAGATGCAGTGCTCGCTCTGAGCGCAGGAGGTGTGGGTGCATGTGGGTGAGCGTGGCAAGGAATGACTGTATGCGAGGGGAAAGAATCAGGCAGAGTGTCGACAGAAGCACGCTACGCTTCTTTTTCTCTCTTCTCTTCACCCCCATTCTCTCCTCCCCATGTGTTGACACTTACCTCAAGTTCACACCAGGGGCTGCGGTTGAGACGCTCGTGCCATGACGCAAGATCGTCGTCGCAGGTCATTTCGTCCAGACAGCAGTGGGCAGACGGCACGACATGCGACACGTCAAGCACAATCTGAACCATGTGTGTGTGTGTGTGTGCACGTTGGAGGGATGAACAGAAAGGAAGCAGGAAGGTGAACATGCAACAACACCTCAAGCTTGACCTTCCACATGTGCACGTGAACAGAACAAGCTGTAACCAGGCCAAATAGCAGCAAACAACAACAACAACTTCAACAACAACAACAACAACAACAACAACAACAACAACAACAACAACAACAACAACAACAACAACAACAACAACTTAAACAACAACAACAACAACAACTTTAACAACAGCAACAACAACAACTTAAACAACAACAACAACAACAACAACTTAAACAACAACAACAACTTAAACAACAACAAGGCAAGCATTCAACCAAACTCACCCTCTCTCAACCAAACTCACCCTCTCTGATTGCGCTGCGGTGTGTTCGATGTACACGAGACCGCCAAATGCGCTCGTGACAAACGTCGTGGACACAAACGCACCATCACCATCATGACCATCACCACCGCCACCGTGGTGCAGAGCGTATGTGTGGGAGATGTCGGGCCATCTGCGCCAGTCCTGAAGGTGCAGCAGGCGGTCCTTGTGGCAACCGATGCGAACCTGCCAGTGGGACAGGTGCAGGGGCCCGTGCTTGCCGGTCGAGCCGTGGACAGCAACACGCATGGTGGTGCTCGGTGGCAGGTAGAGGCCCGTGCTCACCCACTCCTTGTGCTCGCTGGCAATGCGAAGCGTCTGTGGTGCCGGGTCCACGACAAACCGCTCCGCTGTCCAGCCCATGTTGGGGAACACACTCACACCCGGCAGCCACGCCCCCACACCTGCACCGTCGCCGCCACGGCTGCCATCATTGTCATCGTTGTCATCGTCATCATCATCGTCGCCTCCACTGCCAAGGTCACCTGATTTGGGATGCATGCGACCTGCGGAGTCGCCACCATCGGTTGTGGATGGCGCGAACACATGTTTGACGGCCGACAGCACCGTCTGAACACCAGATGACGATGACGACGGTGGTGGTGGTTGTGGTGTTGGCACCCCATGCGCTGGTTTTGGTGCAGTGGAAGCGCTTTCGTCGCCATCACCACCACCGCCAGCAATGGGCTGCTGCTGTTGCTGGTGGTGATGATGTGTGCGTGCGAGGCACACGGCGATTCTGCGAGCCACCATCATGCCACCGCCATCCCCGAGAAGGTCGAGGTGGAAGTGCTCTGGCTCTGGTTTCTCCGTTGCAATCGTTCGCAGTGCTGCTTGCTCGGCGTGCACAAGATCCCCACTCCTCATGGCATCGCACGCCAGCCGTTCGCACGCGCGCACGAACGCGACGGCCTCGGCACCCACCCGCGCATCACTTCCACCACCCTGCTGGTGCTGGCGTTGTGGGTGTGGACTGCTGCCTGCAAGGCCGAATGGTGCTGCTGTTGTTGTTGTTGTCGACGTTGTTGCTGTTGTTGTTGTCGTTGCGGCGATTGTGTCGAGTGGCAAGGCACCAAGTGCGCTGCAGATGTGCTGCGCGTCGTCAGCAAGCATCCACACCGGTGCTGAGTCATCAAGGCTGCGGAGACGCTGCCCGGCATGGGAGGACTCAACGGACCGGCAGTCCGGTGGTACAGCTGCAAATCATGTGTGGTGTACATGCACATGCGCATGGTTGGTTTTATGTCATGTCGCAACAATGAGCTTTCGCACCACGAGTGCCCACAGACAGGTGTGCACATGCAAACAGGCACGCTTGCTCGAAAGTGCATGTGTGTGTGGATGTGTGTATGTGTGTGCGGACGTGTGTGTGTGTGTGTGTGTGTGTGTACAAATGCATGTGGGAAATGGTGCGAAACTACGTGCATGTCACACACACACACACACACACACACACACACACATGAACACAGACAAAGAGAATGGGAGCGAACCGAGGTGCGGGGCGACGACGGTGAGCGGTCCGTGGCTGTGGAGAGACTCGGCACCAAACGCAAGGCCAAAGTGGCGCAGCACGTGGTTCTGTGCACAGCTGGTGGCCACGTCTGCGCCGGTAATCTGCTCAAACCCCCACGGGCACATGGCCACAAGCAGCCCTCCACCTTGTTGCACAAAGTCAACGACGTGCTTCCATTCTCCCGCGTCTGCAAGCGAGCACACATCGCCTGAACCCCGGGTACCCATCCACAGTACCGCCTGCAATGGTCCAAGTACGTGGAGGTGTGTGTGTGTGTGTGTGTGTGTTTGGTGGTGGTGATGGTTCATGTGACAGTGAGTGGTTCAATGGTACAGTGTACGGCAATCATCAATACCGGGGCAGCTGAAGCCATGGTCCCGCCTCAAGACAAAAAGAAGGCGTTCGGCTTCGTCCACACGCACGCATACACGCACACGCGAACAAACACCATCACGAACATGTCTTGTCCCCCACATGTCATACGAACGCGCCTATATAGCTGCATACCTGTGGGGGTTCTCCGTGTTGGGGATCCCATTCGCACACGTCAATGGTGTCCGCCAAGTGAAGCGCTGCGAGGAGTCTCTCCACGAATTGGAGTGGCTTGCCAACGATGGCCAGCAATGGCTTATCATCGGAGGACGCGCGGCTGGTTTCCGTGTCCAGATGGCAGAGCCATTGCACACAGTTTCTGTGAAGGAAACACGGCATGTGTGCAATCGTCCAAGAATCACGCACATGAGCCATCGCTGCCCAAGGATTTCCCCCACTTGCTTTGCAGCACCGCCAACATAAAGTTGCACGCACATCATCAACCCATCAACTACACACACACTCACACACACACACACACACACACACACACACACACACACACATAGAGTAGTACCTGAGAAGGGTGGCTGCGTGGGGCATGGGTTTTGTCCTCTTCGCGGTGTGAACGATGTAGCCTTCGTGGGCGATGGCGATGATGCGACCGCCTTTGGTGGAAGGTGCCTGCCATCGTGCCATTACAGCCCGACAGGTCTTGGCTTTCTTGGCCTGCTCCTGCCCATGCTTCTTCTGCCTGCGTTTCGGGCCCTCCCGGATCGGTTCCATTGACACCATAACAGGGGCTGCGGCATCGCTCAGCATGTAGATCATCCCTGGCACCCCACATCGCTCCACTTTCTCCACCCCTCCCCTCGCCAACGCAGCCGTTGTCGTCGTCGATGTCGCGTCTGTCATCTTTGGCGCTGTTGTTGTATTTGTGGTGGTTGGTTTGTCAGAGCGAAAATATGTGCAAGTCATTCACAAATCCGCCACAATGGCATCGCCGTTCCAAACACAAACGGCAACGGCGGATACGGTTGGCTGTGAGATGCGTGTGTGTGCAGATGTGTCTGTGTGTGTGTGTGTGTGTGTGTGTGTGTGTGCAGATGTGTGTGTGTGTGTGTGTGCTTCTATTTCTTTCTTTCTCTCTCTCTCTTTCGACCCGCCTCCTCACTTGACTCCCCTTATATACACACATGCTCACACACATGCACACACACAACACACACACACCTGACTTGCAAAGGCGTTTGCGCTGGTTGCCGGGGATGGAGGCCGGCTGGAGAACCGAGCGGATGTGGGGCTGTTCTTTCTGGCACTGCTCGGGTTTGACGTGAGCGTCCACACGCTGGATGCCGTGCTGGCTGCACATCCATCCGGGGTGACATCTTCGGACGCGCGGCGCATCGTGGCGCAGCTGCCACCGTCTTGGTTCTCCACTGGCAACAACCTGCAACACCACGCCTTCTCTGCGCTTGACACCACTGGCAAGGGCTTTCTCGAACCATCCGATCTCGTTCACGCCGCCTCACAAGTATGCGACGAGAAGTGGGCGCGCGGTGTGCGTAAGAGTGGGGAGGGATGGGCTTGGGGGAATGCGTGGGAGAATGCTGTACATGACGTGCGCGTAAGAGTGGGGAGGGGGGGCTTGGCGAATGCGTGAGAGAATGTTTTGCACGATATGTGTGTGTATGTCTGTGTCTGTCTGTCTGTGTGTCTGTGTCTGTGTGTCTGTGTGTCTGTGTGGGAGAATGCTTTATTTTACATGATGTGCGTGCGTGTTATGTTTGTGAATGCTTGAATGAACACGGAGAGGAAGATGATTGGTGGAGTTGGGTTTTGCCCACCCGACTTGCACCCCTTGCTTCTTATTGTCCGCTCGCAAGTGCATACCCTGATTCACCTTTGCGTCTCCACAATCACTGCAGTGCGCGCCGCACCTCCCACCGGCAATGCTGGCGACTGCGTTCTCGATGCTGGACGGCAACGGCGATGGACGCCTCGCCCTCGGAGACGTGCTCAACCATGGCGCTGAGCGATGACATGGGGACAGTACCGTTGCAGCATATGCCGTGATGCTGCGTTGCACCGCCACCGCAATCACCATCGCCATTTCCACTGCATGGCTCGCACGGTTGTCCTGGGAGCAGGCAGCTGTGGGCGAATGCGCATGCCGACGACATGTCGGCGCCAGTGCTGTTTTTCGCTGTTGCACTTCTCAATCACCAAACAGAAAAGCAGGCAAGGATGCGATCACGGATGCTTCAAGTAAGCAAGCAAGCAAGCTCGGATGGACCAGCTCTCTCTCACTCTCTCACTCACTCACATGTATCTCACATATATCTTCGGCACTGTCTGACTGATGTGAGATGCGCTCCTGGCTCCCCTCCCCCTCCCCGCCACCACCCGCCACTCGTATCTGAGCAGCAGTTCTGTTGGTGTGTGCATTGGTCGGATAAACGATGGTGCGATTGTAACGACATCGCAACTGCAACGTGTGTGTAACGCGAGAACAGAGAGAGGGCGGGCATGGGAAGACAGTCGCCCAACATGCAGAGCATGGCTGTGTGACATTGCGAAAAAGGAACTTGGGCAAACAAGGGAGGAAGAGGAGGACGCTGTGTATGCGCGTGTGCACGCAACATAACGCAAGGCAGGCATTTCACAACGCAGGCGCTTCAGCACGGTGCACGCAGGTAGTGACAGCAGCACGCAAACAGGTGTCAAGAGCACGAACGACGGCTCAGCAACATGGCACTGAGTTAACATGTGCCACGGCGCGGGACAACGGCACTGCAGCAGACGATGGCAGCAAGCAGGCGAGCACATTAGAGGTGGAGGGTGGCGACGGTGGCGTTGGTGGCCGTCGGGTACATGGCATCGAGCGTGATGCCGCAGATACCAGCGGCGCCAACACCGCGCTTCATCATGATGTAACCCTGGTCACCCCAGGAGGCTCCCCAGCTGTTCTTGACAATCCAGTACTCGTCCGTGTAGCCGACGACCAGCACCGCGTGGTCCAGCTGCGTGCCGCACGGGCCCGAGTACACCCCGCTCGTGTACATCTGGAACGAGGGCGTGTCTGCCTCGATGGCCACGGCCACGGGCATCTTGAACACGGCCGCGGCAAGCTTGGTCTCGTTGCGGGGCGGGACCACGCTGTATCCGCCAACCTTGGCCACGTGGCGTGCCTCCTTTGCCTTGTTGCACTGACCACCGGCGCCAGAGGTGGGGTAGTCTGCAGCAGAGTCGAGGCCGCCGTTTCGCGCAATGTACCTGGTGGCAGTGGTGGTTGGTTGGTGGTTGGTGGTGTTGGTGCAAGGAAGCTGGTGGGTGTGGCAGCGCAGCACAAGCACGGCTATGTGTACATCGCGTGTGGGCACGCGCAGTCACACAGGGAGAAACAGAGAGAGATAGAGAGATGCTTGGACACTCACATTCAAGCCAACATACAGGCACACACGTACGCACAAACACGCACAAACACGCACACGCACACGCACACGCACACACACACACACGCACACACGCACACATACATACATGCACACACCCCCGCGCGCAAACAAGCGTGGGGACGCAAAGTCTACGAAACGCACTTGAAGAACGAGACGAGGGAGCCACCGCTGCAGCCCGGTGTGCCGGAGCAGTCAATCACTTGCTGAGTGGAGAGCTCGACAAGGTTGCCGCTGGAGATGGCGTGCATGCCCTCCACGGCCTCCACCGCGGCAAAGATGGCCGGGTTGCCGCACTGGCCCTGGTTGCGCACAGGCGTGACGGCCCCGCGCTTGCGCCAGTCAATGCCGCTGCTGTCGCCGTTGCTGTCGGCTGCGTGGACGGCGTGTTCGTCCAAGTGCAGCGTTGCGGTGACGGGGTCGCGCTTGTCGTCGTCAAATGGCAGGCGCGTGACGTGGTGCTGGCGGAACTCCTCACGCGTCAGGTCGGCAAACTCGTTCACCCCAACCAGATACGTGTGCATGCCAGCAGCGGCCTCGGCGTTGTGCTTCTCAATAAAGTCTAGGGACTCCTGGAAGATGGCCGCCCGGCGTGCCTCCTCCTCGGCGCTCTCATACACTTTGTTGTACTTGTCTTTGAACTACGCATGCACACATGCGAGGGCGTGTGAGGGGGTGCGAGTGGCTGCGACGCGCTGTGAGGGCGGTGGACAGGGATGACAGACGTGATTCAGGAGAAGCGCATTCACACACGCACACATGCACCGCAAGTTGACACACACACACACACACACATGCACCGCAATATAGTACGCATCGACACTCCAACACACACACACCCACACCCACACCCACACCCACACACACACCCACCCACACACACACACACACACATGCACACCTCTTCGAAGGTCATGGCAGAAGGGGTGGGAGCAGCAGAGACGGTTGTCATCACGGCAAGCGCCGCGACAGCAGCAGCAGCCAGCACAAGCAGCTTCATATTGGGTTCGTTGCGTCGTGGTTTTGGAGCAGTGGGTCCTGGGAAAAATAGCAACATTTTCCATCAAATGCTCGCGGGTTTTGTTTGGATTGGAGGGGGGAAGTGTGCGGGTTTGTGTTGGTTGCTGTGCGTGTGTTGGTTGCTGTGTGTGGCTGTGTTCCTCTCGCTCCACTGTCTCAACTGTCTCCACTCATTCAAGTGGCTCTCGTGTACACAATACGATGCTACTTTGTAACGGTTTTCACTCTGTTCACAACATGCCACATCCTGCAAGCACACACACGCACACGCAATCAGACACTCACACACGCACGCAGACCTCGCTTCATCGTCTCACGTCATCGTCGATGATCGCCCTTGCTGCGCGTGGATCGCTGTGCGTGGGAGGGACTGCTTCTTCGTCGCCTCCTGCTCCTGCCATCATCGCCACGCCCTCCACCACCACCACCACCATCATCACCATCACGATCGCGATCACCACGACCACGATCACGACCACGATCGCGATCACGACCACCATCACCGCCACCGCCACCACGGCTGTGCTGCCGCGGCTGCTGCGGCCGCTTGCCGGTTCCCCTGTCTTCCCATGCCTCCTCCCTCTCCTCCGTGGCCTCCTCGTCGCCTCGGCCGTCCACCGCAAACGTCGGCATCATATCCGGGGTGCACGGGTAGGGGAACTCGCGGAAGTAGGCATGGCCGAGCGCACGATCGCACGACCAGCGCTGGTGCGGGTCGTATGTCAGCAGCCGCTGCAGCAGGTCAATCCCGCGGTCAGATATGAAGCGAAACTCGTCCTTGAGATTGCTATAGGGCTGCGCGGTGAGCTGGAACCGCGATGCAAGCGGCAGGCTCGAGAACCCGGGCCATATTGCCTCGTTTGGCGTCCCCAGCAGCTGGATGATGAGGTCCAGCTGCGACACCTCCGACTTGCCCGGCAAAATGGGCTTGTGTGCCAGGAGCTCGCCCATGACACAGCCAGCGGACCAGCAGTCAACCTTGCTTGTGTACGCCTTGTCCCCAAATAGCAGTTCCGGGGCACGGTACCAGAGCGTGACCACGTTGGTTGTCTTTGGACGCGGTGGGTCGCCGCTGCGCCGCGCCAGCCCAAAGTCGGCAATCTTCAGGTACCCGCGCGAGTTCAGCAGCAAGTTGGAGAGCTTAATGTCGCGGTGGACGATGAACATGCTGTGCAGGGCGCGCAAGCCTTTCAGCAGCTGGACCGTGAGGGACTTGGCCACCGTCTCCGGGAAGGGCGCAGGCAGGTTGTCGACAAGCCAGGCAAGATCGTGCTCGCAGTACTCGAAAATAAGATACACTTGGTCGTGTGCGCCGCCCACGGCAATGTCTAGCAGCTGCACCACGTTCTCGTGCTCCATGGCCTTGAGCGTCGTCACCTCCCGCAGGCTCGTCTGCGGCATGCCTGCTCACATAGGGAGGCGGGAGGCGGCGCGTGTGTGCGCGTGTGTGCGCGTGTGTGCGCGTGCGTGCGTGTGTGTGTGTGTTTGTGCGTGCGTGTGTGTGTTCGTGTGTGTGTTCGCGTGTGTGTGTGTGTGTGTGTGCGTGTGTGTGTGTGTGTGTGCGAATGTATGTGCGCGTGCGTGTGAAAGCGAATGTATGCGTGCGTGCGTGTGTGTGTGTGTGTGTGGGATGATCAGAGACAAGACGCAGGGTAAGTCAGACAACGACAAGAAGTACACGTGTACGCACACGCACGTGATGCTGACGCCATGTGCAATGCATCCAGCCACGCACATTGCAAGCACAAAATACAGAACACACCACACCTTCTCGCTCGTCCTTCATCTTGATACGCTTCACAGCAACAATGGCTCCTGTTTCAATGTCCTTGGCCTTGTCTGCAGCCAGCAAAGCAGACGAGAGAGAGAGAGAGAGAGAGAGAGAGTGTGTGTGTGTGTGTGTGTGTGTGCCTGGGTTGAGGGCGTGCAAGTGAGAGGGGACATGCCGTTAACTCACTCAACTGGACAAGCAGACCATCACACACATGCACATGTACTTGCACACACACGCACACACACGCATGTACATGCACGCACACGCACGCACACACATGCACATACACGCACACACAAACACGTACACACACAAGGTCCCCCCTCCCTCTGTCATGCATTGTACCATAACGTACAAACGATGCCGTATGTTCCCTCGCCAAGCCGGCCGAGTCGTTCGAAATCATCAATCTCACGGCATCGCCCCGCAAACCCGCGTGGCACCTTGATTGTGTACTCTGCTTCCTTCAAGCTGTCCCTAGCACTCGCCAGCCTCCCTCTAACTCCTTCTCCCACGCTATTACGACTGCTGCCACTGGCATCGCCATCGTCACCACGATGACTGCGGCCACCGCGAAACCTCGCTCCACCACCTTCCATCCTCCACCCAGCCAGCAGTGTTCGTTCACTCGCTTCCGCGATCTGCTGATAATTGACAATACCACCAACAACATTTCTACAATCACACCAGCACGAGAAGAGCAAGACAGACAGACCAGCAGTCATGGCGTCTCGCATTGTGTGCCAAAAGCCGTCGTATGTGAAGGGTGTCGCCCATGCCCTGCGGCTGCTGTGTGAGGCAAACCCTCCGCTTGTGACGAGGATGGTTGTGCACCCCATGCAGCGGTCGATACGCGTGGCGCGTCAGTTTGACATTCGCGTCGTCGGGGAGTCAACGCACGGATACAGACTCAGAGCCAAGCGCGACAACACACTCCAAGAGGTGCGCAGTGCGGACTCCGTGTGCATGCAAATGTGTGTGTGTGCGTGCGTGCGTGCGAATGTGTGCATGTGTGTGCATGCGAATGTGTGCATGTGTGTGTGCGGTTGCACGTGAGCGTACTTGCGTTCCTCTTTCACTTGTGCGCGTCACACACACACGCGTGTACACTCACACACATATACACACTCACACACACACTCACATGCACACATTCGCATGCACACACACACCATACACGCGCGTGTTGAATTGACATGCTCATTGCCATGCTGCGTGTTCTGCGGGGTTTCTTTCTGCTTGACACTGGCCGCTGCAGGTGTTTGCGGTGACTTCTGTCCCACGCAATATGCTGCAGTATGCTGTGGATGAGGTGATTGGAAAGAACCACCTGGCGCGACTTCAGAGGCAGCCACTCCCAAGTGGTGTCACAGACGAGCAATACAAGGAATTCCAGGCCCAGCTGCGAGCAGCGCACGCGAACCAACAATCAACGGCGTGAATGCTAGCAGAGGCAGTGATACTTGATGTGGTTTTCGAATTTGGGTGGCACGGCACGCTCAGCTGCTGTAGTCATGATGGTGACAGTGACAACCTGCCGCCTCCACCCTGTGTGTGTGTG